GAGCCCGATGTGGGACTCGATCCCAGGACCCTGAGATCATGACCTGAGCTGAAGGCAGAGGCTTAACCCACTGAGCCACCCAGGTGCCCCTCCTCTGGTGGTTCTTATCCCTTACGGTCTTTGCATGGACTCGTCTTTAAATATGCATACCCCCATTTTGGAGTGACCTTCATTTCATCTGGGAGGGTTGGGGTTTTTTTTTTTTAAATAGTCTGGTGTTACCTTCTGTTGTGTTACGCCAAAGGATGCCTCACTCGGCGGGAGAAATGGCGCACGGGGCCCTTCCTTTTGCTGGGATTGAGGCCCGCCGTGTACGGTTTCCAGACAGCCGCTCTGCGTCACGGCCGCTCTTTCATCTTAAGTAAATATTTCGTTCCCAATTAAGCAACTTGTACCTTCATTTAAGAGGATTTTAAAAGTTAGAAAAATGTACAAGTCAGAAAGTGCCATTAGCTTTGCCGTCCTTGGATACATTCTTTCCTGTCCTTCTTGAAGGTTGTAGATTCTCGATTTGTCCTAATTGACAGCATATCATACATTCACTTCATGTTGTGTCTTTTCATTCGTTGCCAGCGTTCTCCTCTGCCTAAAGGTCTACTAAAATGAAAAAATGCACTCTCCTGATGTTGAGCAAGGATTTGAAATGTACTGACATTTTCAATAGTGCTGTGACGCACGGCCCTTGTGTGTGTGGATCTTTTTTCTGCTTCTACCCTGGCTGCTCTGTTGAAGACCTGATGGGGAGTGACTGGTGCTGAAGGCAGTTCTATAAGGTTCTTACAGTGAATTGCTGAATTGTTTGCCAGAAAGTTTAGGCCAGTTCCTCATTTCCCCCACATTCTGCCCATTTCTTCCAGTCTTCACCAGCATTGGTGTTCCGTAAAATGCCTTTCAACAATAAATTATACAAGTATGCTCAGTGAACTTGGAGCAAATGTGTTAATGCCTAGTAATTAATAGTAAAACACATAGCAAAGCATATAACGTATTTATTATTAGGAGTCCAAACTGAGCTAGCCTTAAAGGGTCTTCCTTAACATTCTGGTGGGGTGGAGTCTTCTGAACAGACCTATCCCGAGAGTCATTTACATTGTCTAAGCCAGTACACACCATCTTGTGTTTATCTTTTGGTCATTATTTTTTCTCTCTACTTTAGCTCTAGGTCTTGAGACAGGTGTATAGAATGATTTAGGGCAGGAGTATATGTACGTTTTCTTTTTAATCACATAAAGCAAATGTGGATAATGTGTGGCCACAGTGTGTCTGAGTTCTTTACTAATTCTGTGTAAATTTCAGGTGTGCAACGGAGGAACATGGCTCAAGAAGCTAATCACAGCCAAGTGCCTATGCTTTGTTCCACTGGCTGCGGATTTTATGGAAACCCTCGTACAAATGGCATGTGTTCAGTGTGCTATAAAGAACATCTTCAAAGACAGAATAGTAGTAATGGTAGAATAAGCCCACCTGGTAAGTAATTCTGTCAAAACCCAGCAGTACTCATCACTGACCTAGATTTGGGCGGCTCGATCCACCAGATACTTTTTCTTTCTCTCACATTGTGCTTCTATCACCACATTCGTGTCCGCAAACTCCCTCCTTACGTGTCTTCACTATCAGTGGTATCCTTGCCCACTGGAAATAACCAGAACAAATCCATTCCACAGCCTTACTTGCTGTCCGACAGAACTCTGTTCTCTTAGGAAAACACAGGCCTGCTCCGAGTGTATGTAGGTACCCGGTGAGTCAGTGGTAAGGGAGGGAGTGCTCATGAGGACCTTGGTTATTTTATCTTGGGTGACTTTTGAAGCCAAGATAGTTGTAGAAGGAAAGCGTGGGTTACAGGTGGCCACAGCGGACTTGAGAGAGGACTGTACCCTGGGAGGAAGGAGCGGTGCCGCAGTGCGACTGAGAGAAAGGGGTGTTCCGCACCGCCTCCCTTGAGTTCTGGGTGCGCTCTGTGTCCGCGGATTCTTCACGGATTCTTCGGGGGTTGTGGAAGTGGGTTTTTGTGTCCGTGGTTGTACTGGAAGGATGGGGAGGATTCTGAGTGTGGGCTTCACAGAGGCGTAGCCGTGAAGGCCGTTGCTTAGTCGCTGTAAAATCCTGCACGCAGTCTTTCACATTGTCGCTTCGCGTTCAAGCCAAATGCTAGAACCGTTCAATCACAATTTTTCCAAATTTTCTCAAGGCCAAAATCAAATGACTATAAATTGTTTTTTTAAATTTAAATCACCATCTACATTTCTGCCTTATGAAGAACAGGGAAAAGAATAACCTAATGTACTGAGCACAGATTTCAGTTATGAACTTGGGTTGGCCTTACCTGCTCCGGATTTTGTCTTAAATATTCTGTGCCCACGTGTGCGCAGATGCGTGCGGCTTCTGGGGCGTGGGCCGCCCGCCGTCCTGGGAAGCACGAGCTTACTTTATTAGTACCTACAGTACGTATGTGCTTGCTTTCTTGGTTTCAAGTACTTCTTGCACTGGAAAATTACTGGAAATTTGTAAATGAAAGTAGCGAAGCAGCATATCACAGGTATCGTAAACAAGATTCGTCCACTCTGTCTCGCGTGTAGGTGTTCTCTGGTTTAGACCGGGCGTGGGGAAGCCCGCAGCACGGGGTCCCTAACCGTGGTGTGGTTCTGTTGCAGCAGCCTCCGTCAGTAGCCTCTCGGAGCCTCTCCCCGTCCAGTGCGCAGACGGCGGTGGCCCCGACGCTCAGTGCCCGCTGGACTCCGCGTGTGCGTCCGCGCAGCCAAGGTAAGGTGCGGGCTCCGAGCGGCGGGCGGGCGGCGGGTGGCGGAGGAGGCGCGTGCTGGGTCTCGCGGGGGCCGTGGAGGAGGGGCTCAAGTCTCTGGAGGGTCAGCCGGCCCAGCTCTGTGTCTGTCTCACCACTGACGAGTCCGGAGAGGCTTCCTGTGTTCACTTTGGGAAGGAGCCGGGAAGGTGTCTTTTTAGTTCCCCTTTCTTTTGAGACAGCCTTTCCTTTATTTCTCCTCCTGACACGTCCCGCCCCAAAGTCCTGACTTGAGACGCCGGCTCGGTCCAGGGCCGGTGTGCGCAGGGGCCGGTGTGCGCGGGGGCCGTGCTGTGCCTCAGGCCCATCCCGGCTCTGCGCTCCCTGGCGAGGGTTCTGCCCTCGTGTTCCGCTCTGGCTGTGAGGTCGTGCCATGTAGAAGCCTGAAGACATAGAAATACTTGCCTCACTCGTCCCTGCTGTTGGGAAACAAGGATGACGTTTCTGCTCCAGCCCTTTCCCCAGTCGGTGACTGGAGACGCCTGTCCCGCTCCACCAGCGCATCCCTTCCAGCGTGGTAGCCGGGCTCGGAAGCCGGGCCCCGCGCGATGATGTTCCCCGGGTGGACCGCGCACAGAGACCACTCGCTGTGGCTTCTCTTGCTGATGCCAGGAACTTCGGTGCACACTGGTCTCTGGTTTCCTGGCGCTCTGGTTAATGCGGAAGTCGCCAGCTCCTCCGCGCTCACGCGTGTAACCACGTGCTTACACGTGCTGACCCTGTGCTTGTTCCGGCCTCTAGTTACTGTTCCTGCGTGCAGACCACTTTGTAAATCTACATGTTTTTGCTTTTCTAGCCCTGTATCAAATCAGTCACTTTTATCAGAATCTGTAGCATCTTCCCAAGCGGACAGTACATCTGTGGACACAGCCGTACCTGACACAGAAGAGCTGCAAGGTTTGCACACGACTCACTTCCGTCGCTCACTGGCGGTCAGGGGTTCCAGGCCAGGCGCTGTCCTCGGAGCGTAGATTCTTTTAAGTTGCCTGCCTCAAAAATATTTTAAAATTTATTTTCTTTATGAGCAGAATATTTCATATCTTCAAGTATTCAATGGACAGAAATGTTGGGAGCCACTTCCTGCTGATACGTAATTGTGTCATCAAAGTAAATGTAGCGAATTGTCAATGTGTTAGTTGGAGAACTGAGTGACTGAATAGTGGTATTACACTGTTCTCTTCTACTGTTACTTTTACCAGTTTAACCTAAATCTTACTTCTCTGCGAGCAGCTGTGGCTGCAGCATAGGGGGCTTCTCTTGTCTTTGGACTCAGGTTGTCAGAGACGGACTTGACTGGCCGTTGTCCCTCTCCCCCCAGGTGGGGCTGCGAGGGCAGCCATCAGGTTCAGTTTCTCGTCCTCACAGCATGGGACCTCTTATTCTGGCCCCTGCTCTGCATCCCCATCGTGTGGGTCAGAACGATCTAGGAGGGCTTTCTCGCGGCCAGAGGCGGTGGACAGATTGAGGAGGCGAGTGGATAACCCATGCTTGTGTGCAGACGGTGGCTTATACCCGGGCCAGGGAGACCTTCCCTCGAACATGGTGTTCACATGGTAGCGACAGATGTATCTGGTAATCTTAGCTAAGGTTGCTGAGGTTTGATTGTGACCAAGCTGGCTAGTTCCCCGTGCTCGGTGTTCAAGCCCAAGAGATGATTAGCATAATTTGCCTGTTTGTAGATTTTGCTATAGCAAGAAAATGCACTGTCTGGCCAACATCAGTATTCTCTTCCATACAGCATATTATTATAAATTAGTAAATATTATAAGTGAGAATTTTTTATTTTTTCATTAAAAATTTTAGAAAGGGCAGAAATGGAAAACTCCCTAAGATTTAGTTATCCCTGGGGTGTGGGAAGTAGGAGAAGGGCGGTAAAGCTTTCGGTTTTGTGATGGCAGCGGTGGCCAGCTGCTTTAGGCAGGGGCTCGAGGTGGCGTCGCCAGACAGGATGTGCACACGGCAAGTTGGACGGGATCACATTTCAGAATTAGCTCCACTGGAGGCTGTTGGTAAATAATGGGTATTCAGATGTGTGACAAGTTCTATGTCTGCGATTTGGAAGTCCTTGATACGTTGAGAAGTGAGGTGCTAAAGTGAGGAGGGGCAGGGCGGAGGACAAGTCAACCAAGGAGGACGGCTTCTGGGCCCTGGTTAATTTCAGCCCACAGGTGCCCGTGTTGGAGAGTTTCTAGAAGCAAGAGTTGCTTAGCAGTTTGGGAAGAGAGCTAAGTAAGGAAAACAGGCTGCTAATCATGAAGGTATGTCTCACAGTAGAACAAAGCTTTGAATGTTGGTCATAAACAAAATGTGTGCCACTTAAGTGTACGGTAGCAGCTACTGTACACGTCTGACAGATGAAGAGAGGTTGCTCACCCATGACTGTGAAGTGCTTTTATACCATTTGTGGTGTATGGCGAGCAGGGTAGTGTTCTGCGCCCAGCGCTGAGGATAGGAGTGCCGAAGGTGGGCTTGACGGTGTATTATGAGAAATCGTTAAGGGGTGTTCAAAGTTACAGACTCCTTTCTTCATGTATGTTTCAATGACTTTTTTTTAAAAAAAGATTTTTATTTATTTGACAGAGATCACAAGTAGGCAGAGAGACAGGCAAAGGCGGGGGGGGGGGTGGGGGGGAAGCAGGCTCCCCGCTGAGCAGAGAGCCTGATGCGGGGCTCAATCCCAGGACCCTGAGATCATGACCTGAGTGGAAGTCAGAGGCTTTAACCCACTGAGCCACTCAGGCGCCCTGATTTCAATGACTTTTAAAGTTAAACCAGTATTAGCTTACAAGTACCTCTTAAAAATTAAAAACCCTCTTAAAAACTTAGCATTCATTATTTTAGCATTGCCGAATCTTTGAAAAATCCAGTATAAGTTTCATCTGAATTTGAGAGGATTCATTTTCAGTGCATAAAATGTCTTAATAGCCTTGTTTTTAAAAAGGCCTTGCTTACGCTGTTGAATTAAGAATGTTTTCTTTTATTATAAACATATACACAATACAGGTTTCCCTTCTATCCAAAAGTAGAGCATTTTGGTGAAACGTTTTCTAAACTAAAATGGTGTAACGAAGCAATTAAAAAAGCGAGAATTCTCTTTGACCGGTATCTTTCTGTTAGCAAAAACAGGTACTAATGTAGGTTTTTCATAAAAGTGAAGGGACATAAAGCCAGTTCTCAGTAGCTGGGAGGTGGGGGGGGGGGGGTGTGAGTGAATGTGTGTGTGTGTATACACTCGTAATGTAAATGTACTTGTGATTTCCCTGTTGGATAGAAATGAATGCAGAGGGTATTTTTTCCATCTATTTATGAATGGACAGACACCAACAGAAGCAGTCTTGGACTCCAGTGCTGTGGTTCTTTGCACTGGAATTGGAACCCAGGCACCTGACTGTGAGCCAATCTTTCCCCGGACAGTCGTGCTCGCTAGACTGGGACGTGCAATCCTGCCGTTGCCAGGGTAGGGTCGTCTGTTTGGTGACTGGCCAGGTATCTACTTTCTTCTGTATTACTCCGTTCGCGTCCCTCAGGGAAACTGATTTAGATGGGAAGATCATCCTGAAGGAGAGGGCTCGTGAGTAGCAGCCGTGCGTCTCCGCCAGCATTTCCTAACAGTCTTTCTTGGAGCTTTGAGATGAGTGTCCTTGAAACAGCTTCTGTCTCTGTAGGTGTTCTGCTTCTGAGTAAGCTGTGTTGCTACCAGGGGGCTGGAGCTGCTTTTATTTGTCCTCGTGACTCTGAAGAATTTTTCTTCTCTTTGAATGAGAATGTAGCATATTACAGCGTGTTTTTCTTGTAACTATTCTTTTTAATTTAACAAGTAGCAACACCTCACATAGTCTCACTTAGGAATATCAGATTTTCAGTTCACAAAAGCTAGTTTTAAAAACATTTTTTAGGGGGGCCTGGATGGCTCAGTGGTTTAAAGCTTCTGCCTTCGGCTCAGGTCATGGTCCCAGGGTCCTGGGATTGAGCCCCACATCAGGTTTTCTGCTTAGCAGGGAGCTTGTTCCCCCCCCACCCCCCACCCCCGCCTGCCTCTCTGCCTCTTGTGATCTCTGTCAAATAAATAAAATCTTTAAAAAAAAAAAAAGTTTTTTTTTAAAGTATTTGGTGCACTTTACACCATCATACTTGATTGCCTTACTGCACATTGTACTTCGCTTTGGTTAACCTCTCAGTGCCTGAGATCCTGAATCTTAGTAAAAAGAAATGGAATTTGGATCAGAGGTTTTATTTTCTTTCTTCCTCCCTCCCTTCCTCCCTCCCTCTCTCTTTCTTTTGTTTTTTTAAGATTTTATTTATTTATTTGAGGGAGAGCGATAGCATGTGCGAGGAGGAGAGGGAGAAGTAGCCTCCCTGCTGAGCAGGGAGCCCGACACAGGACTCGATCCCAGGGCCCTGGGATTATGACCTGAGCGGGAAGCAGATGTTTCACTGACTGAGCCACCCAGGTGCCCCAGAGGTTCTGTTTTCATATGTTGACACCCCCACTTCTCTGAGCCGTAGTTTTATTAATTTAAAGGAGAAGAAGTAACAGCCACATCCAGCTTACAGGGTGCTGGAAGTCAGTGAAGTGATGGAGGTGAAGTGAGTTTTAGGCACACAAAGGATACTGTTAGTCCGTACAGTGCCACAGGGATGTGGCGGTTACAGGAGGCTTCGGGGACCTGGGGCTTGCGCAGCGTCCAGCAGTAGCGCGGGGTGAGACGCCGATCCCGTGGTCGGTGCACCTGTGGTCTGTGGGCCCGTGGTCCGTGCGCGCACCTGGAGCGCTGAGCTCCAGTTGGAGCGGTGGGCGGGGCTTGCCGCCGGAGGTGACACGGGGAGTGTTCCTAGCTCCAGCTCTCAGGAATGCTGACTTCACGCAGAGTTGAGTAGGCAGCTTGAAGGCTCAGAACAGTCCAAGAGAAACAGTCCTGTTAGACTAGTTTGAGAAAGCTGTCTGGATTAAAACTCAAAGATTTCTGCTGGTTCTAAAGGCTGGGTGAAAAGAACCATACGGTCCTGGGAATAGCAGACCGGAGCCACAGGAAGACTAACCGCTCCTAGTTGCAAAGCTGCCCACAGGCTCCAGCACCTGAGACTGCGGGTGCGGGCGTGAGGACGCGCCTGCCGACTGGGGGCAGGCCCGGCGTCCAGAAATATCCGGCAACCGCGGGCAGTTGGTTTTCAACACATGCGCCGACAGCATCCAGTAAGGGAGGAGCAGGCTCCAGCAGACGATGCTAGAGGGTGAAGAGTACACTGGACCTCTACCCCCCTTACACGGAAGTTTGCCCCAGAATACTAGACTACAGGAGCCAAGACTGTAAAACATTTACATGAAACAGGCGTAGGTCTCCATGACCTCGGCTCAGGCCGTGCTTGCTGAGGTGCAGCAGCTGGAGCAACCAGAGGAAAACAGACCTGTTGACGCCTGTTGAAGCCTGTTTGCTGTAAGGGACACCATCAAGACGATGAAAAGGTCCACAGGATGAGAAAGAATACTTGGGAATCATACATCTGATAGGAATATATAAAGAATGTAATAATCCAAGAATACGCCAGTTTTTTAAAGGGCAGAGGATTTGAATAGATGCAGATATGCCATGGTCAAGTGTGAAGGGTATGGAAATGAGAACCCTAATACATGGTCGTTGGGGACGTGCAGTGGTATGGCCACTTTGGTAAACAGTGTGACAGTTACACGTTGAATTTAGAAAGTCCGAGAGGTACCCTTATGACCCAGAAATTCCATTCCTAATTCCTGCGGGACTGAAAATGTGTCCTCACAGAAACGTGTGTAGGAGTGTTCACAGCAGCATTGTTCATAGTTAGCAAGGCATGGAAACGACCCGGATGGCCAGCAGCAGTGCCTGGATAGATGTGGGCTGTCCATACCCTGAAGCATTCCTCAGCCAGAAAGGAGTCGAAGCTCTGATACCTGGCACAGCAGGGCTGAACTTGGACAACACGCAGAGGAGAAGAAGCCAGGCACAGAGGCCACAGGGTGTGTGGTTCATTTATACGGGAGGCAGGTGCGGCAGGTGCGGCGAAGAGGGCTGTCTGCAGGCTCTCAGCGGGAACACGGTGCCCTCGGGGGCAGCCGCACTTGCTGGAGGGGCCGGTTCAGCAAGGCTGTGTTGGAGCAGAAGCCGAGAAGGTTGTTTAAAGGAAGTCCTGGAAGATTCCTGAGGTACTGGGTTCTAATCGACAGGGGAAAGAGCCTTGTGGAGGCCGGCTGCTTTTGTTTTTGTTTTTGTTTAAGATAACACAGAGTTGCGTTTTAAGAAGTTTAATGTGACACTTCTTTGCCCCAGATAGCTGCTGATAGACAGTGCTCTCCTGCACAGAGCTGCTTTGTCCAGAAAGGTGGCCGCTGGTCTGGGGTAGCCTTGAGCATTCACATGTGGCTGGGCTGGAATTAGTGCAGCGCGTGTCTGTTCGCTAGTCGTGCAGCGTATACGTAGGTTTCCAAGAGTGTCAAAAAGATGAGAAATACCTCATTAATACTTTAAATACTGATTACATTTTAAATGGTAATATGTATTAACTTTGCCCTTTTATACTTTTTAACACAGTGGCTGGAAAATAGAACTTTAAATCTATGGCTTGGTCTATGTTTTTAGACCCTGCTGTACTCTTAGCCTTACTTTCCCTTGAATATTTAAAGTGTTCTCATTTGGTAAAGAATTTTTGAGCTAGGAGTCACTTAACGATCATTGGGTTCAACCCCTCATGTTGCATAAATGGCGTGCAGAGGAGGAGGAGAAGGAGGAGTGTCCTCCCTGTGTTGTGGGAAGAGGGCGTGTCCCTCCAGTCCGCTGGAGGGCTGGGCGGTGTCCGCAGTGGGTCTAAGTGGTGAGCAGAAGCCCTGAGCACTGAGCTTGGTCTGACCCCCGAGGGGCTTGTGGGAGAACTGGTCCTGCTGTGTGAGAAAGACGTGTGCGCTACATTACATGGGGGCCATGTCTGCCACCAATGCCTCCTGGGTCGCCTGTCAGTATTCATCGTGTGTATTAATACGCTTCCAGACAGAGTTAATGCTGAGTAGTTTATGTGCTTCCTGTTATATTTGTGTATTTTTTTAGCAGGGCCTAGAGCAGAGGGTTTGTGAAGTATCTTAAAATTACGGGCCAGTAGACTTTGTCTCTTTGGGATTCCCATGGAAAATCAAGTTTACTTCCCAGCCTTTGTGGCTAGGCCTCCCAAACCAACAGACCTTGAGGACCAGCGGATAGAAAGTAGGCTGCTGCCTGTTCTCAGTCATTATCAAGTAGCTGACCTTGTGTCCAGTGCTCCTGTCACACTGTGAGAAACTGCCTAGTTCTGAGGACGCTTCTTATTTTGGCTTCAGGTTCAGTATGTTTATGGCCCCTTTAAAGATGGAATTGTTTCCTTTTGCATAATTAAGAGTTGGAAAGGCATGCTTTGGTCTTAAATCTCATCTATAAGGAAATGGGTAATTTTTGGGAATCCTAGGCCTTTACACAATTCTAGATCATCTTGCCCATGAACTGATTTGGTGAATGTTTAAATTCAGGCTGGCAGTCAGTAGTTTGAGGCAAGCGAAGGTCACCTTAGTCTCATGGGAGTGTTAGCGGACTTAGTTTCATGGGAGCGTTAGAGGACGATGGTCAGCCTCAGATGCTAGCCCTCGCTCATAGCCCTCGCTCGCAAGCTCTCGGGCTACCTGTGGGTCCTTAACTTTACAGCTGCGCATCTGCTGTGGGTGGACCATTAGGGCTGAGACTTGTGTACGTGGGAGTGTGCGCGCGCGCGTGTGCATGTGTGTGTGTGGCAGGGAAACTTATTTTCACTCTTGTCCCTTTCCGGATTCCAAAGTTTGTGTCTCAGTAATTCACCCGGTTTAGTTAAGTCAAAGTTTTCTTGGAGTAGTGCTGTTGTTCATGTAAGCTTATATGATCATCACAGTTTCTTGGGAGAACAGTTAGATGTTACGGCTTACAGATTTTGAAGACAATTAAGAGAATCTTTTCTGATGGCAAGTTACACTATGTGTGAGCCCTTACACATAGCAGAATGTTATTTGACACTGTTCTAGGGGCTGTGGATAACCCAAGTAAGCTAGACATTCAGCCCCAACCATCATGGAGTTCACATTCTGATATTTATTTATTAATAATAAAAGGTTTTATGTGTCCATAATCTGTTTAAAGTGTTTATAAAATGTTTGTATTAGCACAGCGGGCTCCCATCTGGTTTCAGAATTTCTAGGTGGAGGGGTGCCTGGGTGGCTCAATGGGTTACAGCGTCTGCCTTCGGCTCAGGTCATGATCTCAGGGTCCTGGGATCAAGCCCCGCATTGGGCTCTCTGTTGACAGGGAGCCTGCTTCCCCCTCTCTCTGCCTGCCTCTCTGCCTACTTGTGATCTCTGTCTGTGAAATAAATAAATAAAATCTTAAAAAAAAACCAAAAACTTGGCAGAATTTCTAGGTGGAGTGACGAGTCATACAGAGTTGTTCATTCGTGCATATTTACTTGGTAGTTTGTGGTGTTTTCTCTGTCATATTCTGCTATGATGGGAGGTAATGTAGTTAACAGAAGCAGGTTGGAATCCATTCCACCAAATGCTTGAGCATGTGCTGTGTTCAGTTCATGGTGGTGGGTGCTGGAGATTCGCACGGGAGGTCAGATCCCACCCGGCTTCCGTGGGGCCTGTGACTACACCCAGCCACAGTGGGTGAGCGCTGAAGGAGGGCAGCTGAGTGGGTTCTGTGGCGCACCGGCCCTGTGGTCAGGGGTGCTAGGACAGGCACTGTAGCAGGAGTGGAGAGGACACGGCCTGCCCTGGAGGAGCTCACTGCTCAGCCGGGTGAAGACCAGGAGGCCGTTACCGTCATGAGGGCACTACTAGTGGGGCGCATGGGAAGGTTCCTGTTCTAAGTTGGTGGGTGGAGGATGGAAATAAGAGTGGGTGGTATGAGCTTGAACAGGAAAGACCAGTGCGAGTAAGCCAGGGAAAGAGTGGGACAGGAGGGGCGTGGGAGAGCATTCCGCACAGAAAGGCTGTTGGCAGGAGCTCAGCGATAGACGCCTCGGTGTGCTTCGGATGGGCCGTAGACGGGGCCGGCAGAGGCCGGCTCTGCAGCGGTTGAGCAGGAGTCCTCCAGGACCAGACGCTGAGAAACCCCGAGAGGGGAACAGCTTGGCTGTGGTAGTCGCTGCTTTAGAGCGAGGTGTCATGTGTGCGTGCTGGGTCATGTGACAGACTCTGACTCCGGGGACAGCATCCAGGGACAGGAGGGTTCACATTGGTTCAGATGCAGGCGTGGCGATCTGACTGGATCTCAGTGCAGGTGGCCTTGACTTTGCTACTAACGTGTGTTGATTTATTATCCCAATTAAAACATTGTAATAAAATTATCTTCCTAACATATTAAAGGTTTTATGTGAAACGTTCTGAGAATTTTAAACATAGTATTCCACCTAATCTTGGTTTCAGCTCTTTTTGTCCTTGTTCTCTGAGAAATCGACATAGTTCTGACCCCAGCAATATTTCAAAGTTGGCATGTGGCCATTTTCTTACGCGCTCCCTTAGAATACCCAGCTAGTATTTGCATGGGGGTCAGATACATGATTACTAGAAAAAAGAGGGAATACAGCGCTAGATCTCTAGAGTTCCAGTTAACATACCACATTTCCTCTGTGTGTGTGTGCGCGCGCGTGTGCGTGCCCAGGTGCCTGACGTAGGTACATACATTGGATGAAAAGGGTGTAGTATTGTGTATTCTACCTTGTAACTGTGTAAGCATCTTTCCGTGCTAACAGATTCCTCAGCTATCCTCACAGTAACAGGTCCCTGAGGGTGGGGGGGCAGCCGCCACCAGTATTAAAATCTTCCTGAACAATTAAATTTTACCACTTTCCTGTTTTTGTCAGCTTCAGTATCAGATGCGGCCCAGCAGCCGTCTGAAGAGCAAAGCAAGTCTCTTGAAAAACCAAAACAAAAAAAGAATCGCTGTTTCATGTGCAGGAAGAAAGTGGGACTTACTGGTAAGGGCCTAAATCCATTGGTTTAAACTTAAGGTTGTATGTTAAAATAACGCATGGCTTACTGTTCCTGGCTTCAGTGGAGATCATTTTTGTTCCATGAGGGTTAATACTGGATACACTTCAGCTTCTAAATTTTCTTAAATAAAGTAGCTTTTAGTTATATACCTGAAAGTAAAATGAATAGATTTTCTTTCAAAAATTCATAGCCCCGGATTTGCGAGCCTTAGGGCGGGTCATGGTGCCGGGCGCTGAATTGCGTGGCTCCTGCGTGGCGGAGCCGGAGTTGGGGAGCGAGGGCAGTGGCGGGGGGTGCTTTCTCAGTGCACAGCGGCTCGAGGTGGCGCTGGTGGCGCTCATGGGGGCCCCGCGCGTCAGCCGTTGGGAGGCGTCAGCCCCGGACCGTGGTGTGGCTGCAACACAGCCGTGAGGACGGTATCGCCACAGGGAGAGGAAGAAAACCTATTCGAAGTGCTGTTTGGGTCTTCGGCAGCTGAAGCAGGTTGAGTGCGGCCAGGTCACTTCGGCAGTTCAGGGACAGCTATCCCGAGTCACGTGGCGGAAGGGGAGGAGAGGCCCGTCACGGAGAGTGGCGTGGAGGCCGTGTGGTTCAGCCGGGTCTCGAGAGCTGAGCAGGACTTGCAGCAGGCGGAAGCAGGGCCACTTGAGGCAGAGAGACTAGCTTGAACCAAGGGTGGGAGAAAGGAGGGGACGGGGCACGTTGAGGGGCCCGAGCCGGGGAGGGCGGCTGTGGCGCGCGGCCTGGGAAGAGGGGAGGCTGCTGGCGAGGGCTGTGCCCCCCGTGGGGAGTGGTTGCAGCTGGAGAGGGTCCCCACTTATTACTTGCTTGTGCCCGGTGTTGCGCCGAGTACTCCCCAGGAATTTGCCCTTGGAGCTGGGAAGAGTAGACGGGAGTTTCAGGATCTCAGGAAGGTTTCTCCGGCCGAGGAACAGGTTGTAGAGAGCGGTCTGGTATCCACGGTGTTGAAGACTGGCCCATACTTTGGCAGATGTGTTCACTTAAAGAACACAAGCGGGGCGAGTCAGTGCTGTAGAGTGCGCATATTTAGTATCAGTGCGGTCCGAGGACGTCTCGGGAGCTCTGACTTCATGGTGGGAGGCTGAGACGCAGTAAGTCCCGTCTGTCCGGCTGTCCACCTGCTGCCGCGGTCGGCTTCAGTTTCCACTCCTTAGCGTGAGGTGACAGGAGATGTCCCTGACGCAAGAGTGGGCTGTGGTCGAGGACGCCCCCATCAGGTGTCAGCGTGCGACATACTGATTCCTCCGCTCCGTTTCCAACGGTTCCGTCCTATCCTACAGTCTGAGTTCTGGGAAGCAGGACTGGTTTGATAAGGACTGTCTACTCTCTCTCTCTCTCCTCCCCCTCCCCTTTTCCCCCTTTAGCTTCAACTCTTTGGGCATTTCCCTAAAATAAATAGCATTTATTGCATGTTTACTAAATGTTAAGCACTTAACACATTCGTCATTTAATCCGTATAGTAACTTATTATTCCAGAACTACAGCTGCAGAAGCTGAGGTTCAGAGAAGCTAAGCAAGTCGCCTGCGTCAGGAGGCGGCTTCGCGCGGAGGCGCCGGACTCCAGAACCTGCCCTTGCCCAGTCCGCAGCAGCCCGGTGGCCTCTGCGCTGGAGTCTGCCCGGGAAGCCGGGGTCGATGCTGTGCTCTCCCTTAACAGTTCTGCCGGAAGTCTCGTGACACCTTTCTTAAGGTCGCCTTCCGACAGTGTGCTTATTTTCACATTTAAAATGTGATTTGAGAGCCATCTTCCATCCCACGTAGCAGTCCTGATTTTGGCAGGGAGTGTAACTGTGGCCACATCGCAGTCAGGAGGCCGAGCTTAGAGCAGCGGCAAGGCTCTGCTGTGGGACAGACTTTGTAGATAAGGAGTAAGAAAGGAAGCTATCAGCCAGTGAGTCCTGAAACTGCCTGGAATGGTTCTTTAGCTGGCTGCCCTAAATACATGATAGATTTTATCATTAATATGCTAAGGAGCTTACCACGTAGACCTTCCATGCAACTCACCTGTGTGTACTGGTCCATTTTCAGGGTTTGAATGCCGGTGTGGAAATGTTTACTGTGGTGCACACCGTTACTCCGATGTACACAATTGCTCTTACAATTACAAAGCTGACGCTGCTGAGAAAATCAGAAAAGAAAATCCAGTAGTTGTTGGTGAAAAGATCCAGAAGATTTGAACTCCTGCTGGAATACAAAAGCCTTTGACCATCTGCAAACTAAAAATTGACTTGAGGTTCTTTTTCCTAGTCCTTGGGAATGTAGAGCAACGTACTTGCATAGACCTTTTAATCATGCATGTCGCCCGAAGAATAGATTTTTGTTTTTGTTTTGAAAATGACTCTGAACATTTATTTCCATTGCAGTTTCTGTGGCTGAAAAGACTTAAGTAAACTTTACAAGTATTATCCTTTTAAGATCATTTTAATTTTCGTTGAGTGCAGAGGGCTTTTATAACAAACGTGGAGAAATTTTGGAGGGCCGTGATTTTTCCAGTATTAAACACGCATGCGTTGATCTCGCAGTTTATTTTCCATTGTGTGTGTCCATAGCTTTTCTCTGCAGCACGATCCCTGCCGACGGCGCCCCTCGGGGCCCGGCTAGTTACCAGTCACAGAATGTATCTTCATCCTTACGGCTGCTTCTGGGTTTTCATTAACAAAAGTTCTACATACGTTAGCATATAGTTTCTTTGCACCCACTATTTATGTCTGAATCATTTGTCACAAGAGAGTGTGTGCTGATGAGATTCTAAGTTTGTGTGTTTTTAATTTTTTTTGAGCGGGGGAAGGAAAAGCTGTGTGCATTTCATTGCCGACTGCGGGTTTCTTTCGGATTACGCTCACCGGTCTGTGTGTACGCGGTGTGGAGAATGATTTGAAGTAATTGTGCTGTATTTATGTTTACCCACCAGTCTTTGATTAAATAAAATGGAAAACCGTAACGTTCCCTTGTGTTACTTTTTCTCTGTTCTTTCCGGTAGTTCATTTTGACTTTTGGTCCTTTTGTTTTCTACTATTAATTTTGTGCAGGTCCTGCTGCTGTTCGCATATCAATCTGTGACTGGTCTTCTGATAATGAATTGTAAGCTTAGATTCCATCGAGTTGAAGGTGTCAGCATTTAACACCAAGAACCGCTTTTTGTCACACAGATACCGAATCCTCTAGCTCTGTTCTACACCCTGTCACCCTGAGTTAGCATCTGCCTAGGAGCTCCTTTTTCTGGTAGAATTAGAGAAACTGAAAGGGCATAATTCGAACACGGCAGCTAGAGGATTGCAGATGAGAAAGACCATTTGTCCTGTTGTTTTCAAACTTATCTGGCAGCCAGTCTTTTTTTTTTTTTTTTTTTTTAACATGAACATAAAACAGGTGAAAAGCAGTGCAAAGTTCCATACCATGACTTTACTTGTTTTATCTTAGTATGTAATGATGGCCTAGCATGATAATCTATAATGTAATCTATTTAAATGTAATCTGTTAATTTATTACATGAACAGATTAAAAAGAGAAAACTGTTCTCACTAGCCCAGCAGCTTCAGGTTAAGTATTTAATAGAATTTAACACCGATTCATGATGAGAACTCCTGATAAATGAGAACTACAGAGGAATTTCTGGAAGCTGATAGCTTCTATGCAAAACCAAACAAACAAATGAAAACCAAGCATCTTCCAAAAAGAGGAAATTCATTCCATTTTAAAGTCAGAAAAAAATGTTGCCTGCTGTCCCCTACTTGCATTCGAAATTGAGTTGGAGATCCTGTGTTCAACAGAGTAAGTCAAAACAGAAAGTCCTAAAAAGGAGAAAGGAGGAAACACTCAATATTTGCATGTTAGGTGTTGGTTCTTGGAGAAAATCCAAACAAAGCTGGACAGAGTACTAAAAATAAAGGGTGTGGTCACGCAGCTAGATATGCCATTAACTCGGAGAAACCAGGTGCATTCCTTACAGTGGTAATAACTGGAAAACCAGAAGGCCACCTTTCACGGTGGTACTGACCCCAGGCACCTGGGAGATTAACAATATATGTTGAAGGGCTCTTTAAGAAAAAATTCTAGAGTGTTATCAAGAGACGATAACTAATACCTCAGTAAACGGGGAGAGAGGCATGTTAATGGCTAGGAAGACAATAGAAGATGTCATCTGTGCCCAGATAGACCTACAGATGAAAAGCATTCCAGTCAAAATCCCACCAGGTTTTCTCCTGGAACTCGTTTAAGCAATTACAAAGTATAAGGTAAAAGGTAGCAAAGGCTTAGGGTGTTTTGGAAAAGAAAGGGCAGGGAGGTGGCACTTGTCTGGGCAGATGCTGGGACTCGATCACGTGAAGCCATGTGAATTAAGAGCTTGGTATTAGCTAAGGGGTGTTCACATTTCCCAATGGGGTAGAGCAGATGGCCCGGAAAAGGCACATGTGGACTGGACTTCGGAGTAAGAGGTGGCTTGTCACATTGGGGAAAGTTAATTTGATAATTAGAGCTGGAACAATTGGTTATCTGTGTGAGAAAGGGTGAAAATTAACTCTTTCTCATGCCCGAGGAAGTTAGTGGCTTAAATGTGACACAAAATTTTCAAACTTGGGGGGAAAAAGGTAAAGATCTACTTTGACCTTGAGATAGGGTCCTACTTAAGACACAAAGCATTAACTGGAAGTGTTACTGATAAATTAGGTATTAAAATGAAGTATTCTATACCTAGGAAAATATTAAACCAAGCAGGTGAAAGCCCTGTACTCAGAAGACATTGGTGGAGGAAATGGAAGGTGATGCAAATGAGTGGAAAGATACTCTGAGCTCATGGACTTGAAGAAATAATATTGTTAAAATGTCCATCCTACCCAAAGCAATCAGCAGATTTAATGCAATCTCTGTTGATATGTCAATAGCATTTTTCACAGAATCAGAGTACGTGATCCTAAACTCTGGAGCCCCCAAAGAGTCCCAAAATATCTTAAACTATACTCTGACAAAGCAAGGGCAAGAAAAACACAAACAATTGGGACTTCATCAAACTAAAAAGCTTTCACACAGGGAAACTATCAACAAAATGAAAAGGCAATCTTCTGAATGGGAATTCAACCCCAAAAAAATTTGATTTAAAAAGTGGGCAGAAGACCTGAGTAGACACTTTTCTGAAGAAGACCTACAGATGCTCCCAGACACATAAAAGATGCTGCGCATCACTCATCAGGGAAATGCAGGTCAAAACCACCCGAGAGACCACCTCCCACCTGCCAGAATGGCTGAAATAAACACAAGAACTCACAGGTGTTGGCGAGGATGTGGTCCCCTCATGCCCACCTAGTGGGAACACAGACTGGTGCGGCCGCTGTGGGAAACAGTATGGAGGGTCCTCAGTTAGAGATGAGAATACCATATGGTTCAACCGTTACGCTTCGGAGTATTCACTTAAGGAAAATGAAAGCTAATTCCAAAAGAGAAAAGCAGCATCATTGTTTATTGTAGCATTATCTACAGTGTACCAGTGTAACACAGAAGCAACCTAAGTGGCCATCGGTAGATGAATGGATGAAGATGTGGTGTGTATATGCGCACAGCGGGATATTAGTCATAAGAAAAAAGGAGGAAATGCTGCCGTTTGCAACAACATGGGTGGACCTAGAGGTTATTTTGCTCAGTGGAATAAGTGAAAGGTAAATACCATATGATTTTACTCATTGGAGCAAAAAAAATGAATAAAACAGAAACAGACATCAACTACAGACAGCAAGCTGGTGGCTTCCAGAGGGGAGATGGGTGAAGTCGGTGATCGGGACAAAGAGGTACAAGTTTCCACTTACAAGTAAGTACAGTGAAAAGCAGAGCACAGGAAGCACAGTCACACCATGGTCGCTCTGACGGCTGACGGCCACGGCGCTTCGTCGTGGTGGGGAGCACTCTGAATGCGCCTAAGTGTCCGGTCACACGGTGCATGCCTGGAACTAACACAGCGTCGTGCACCAGCTATTTCAATTTTTAAAAGAAAAATGAGGTGTTTTATGCACTAATACATTATTTAAAGCATCTTCAGAGAAAAAAGGTGTGTTACAAATTGGGAGAAATTACAATGCAAATCGATACCACAGTGAGATACCATTTTATACCCACTCAGTTGGCAAAATTTAAAAATCTGGCGGTATGTGGTGTGGGAGGGATCCCGCAGAACTTCTGGCAGGCTGCTGGTATTAGTCACAGGGGGTTAATTCTTTAGAAGATTTGTCGTTACCTTGTGTTTTTAACTTTTTTTGACGTTTTTATTAAGTAATCTCTGTGCCCAAGAGTCACTGCCCTTCTCAAGGAACCAACCAGGCGCCCCTGGTATTCCTTTAAAGTTGGACTTTCACACATCCTATAATCTAGAAATCCCAGTCCTGAATGTAACCCCAGAAAAACTTGCACAGAGATAAGAAGGGACACGAACGAGAATTTTCATGGCACTGTTCACAGAATGTGAAAACTCAGAACCACCCAAGTCCCACTGAGGGATGGATAAATAAGATACAGTATAATCTTACAGTAGACTATCGTACAGTAATCAGAGCTCGTGATCCCGAGTGACACGACAAGACAGAAGGCACGGTGTAAGAGCCTTAGAGGTGTAGCGAGCAAAAAAGTCAAAACCTACAACGCGCTCACCTGTACAAATTCTAGTAAGACAGACTGACTTGCAAGTCCTATACCTGTGGTTTAGATGAAGTGATGAAGAGAAAATTAAGGATGGCACGCTTACAAGGGTGGAGACGGGGGGTGCGCCGTGTGTCCAAGCCCCCCAACTCTTGAAAGTAAGTCAGTCCCCTTTTCTTTGTTTTAAGTAGGCTCCGTGCCCAGTGTGGAGCCCAGTGTGGGGCTTGAACTCATGACCCTGAGATGAAATCAAGAGTCGGACGCTTAGCCGACAGAGCTTCCAGGTGCGCCCCGAGAGAGTAAGTCCGTTCGGGAAGTTTACGCGGGACATCACTGAAGGCACACCGCGTGTGAACCAGTGCAGAGTGTCATGAACCAAACATTACGACTAGTCCCATTTTCTGTACCCAAGCTCCAAAGTATTCGTTTGCATTTTGAAATTGAGGGTTGTGTATGAAATGGGCTGTTGAATCAGCCCCAGTGTTCAATTTGTATTCTTTTTTTTTTTTTTACAAAATTGTCACAAAAAATCCATTCACCCCGGATATTCCAGCTTCACTGCACACCCAAATAGTAAAGCCATAAATCACGGATTGTCTTGTAGTTCGGTCTTCATGTCTAATTTGTTTGGGATTTCTGTACTCTGACCTTGCACAGTGTCCTTCCCCCTAGTTTTCTGGGAATGCTGATTTCCGTGCTGTGCAGCGTGATGTTGGCATTAGTCCTCTGCTTTACGCTCAAGTCTCAGGAGACCTGGCTCTCCTGCTGTGAAGATGGCTTAAGCTGAAGTGAGAAAGGCTCCACAGTTCCTTTCTTCTAGGTCGTCTAGAACATCTAAACAGGTACTCTTGAGAGTTTAGGAAAGGACTTCTGTAGTTCGTTGTATCTCTCCAAAGGCGGGCCTCCTGGCCTTGTTTCTCCTCTTCTGTTAACACAGCATCAAGTGCAGTGCAGAGAGCCGGCAGAGCGGAAGGTCAGGAATGCAGACCCGAGATGGATTTCTCAGCAACATCTGGAAACCTCCGTAGAGGGTAGCCTCCCAGAAGGCCACAGATGTCTGTAGCCTCAAACAGTGGCTCCCGGAGAAAAAAGAAGCCACTCCTTATCCCACGGGTATTGGAAGAGTGAGGGAATATTCTGAACTCCCTTTCCTCACAAATATGGTAACTTAGATGAAATGGACCAATTCCTTGAAAGACAATCTACCAAAATGCACACAAGGAGAAAGATAATCTAATGTGCCTGAATCAAAAAAAAAAACGTAATCCACAATGACTTCACAGAAAGGAAAGCACCAGGCCCAGACTGGTCAGTTCTACC